TACATGCTCTTGTAAAAAGTCCCTCTCCAGACTTGATTTTCTATGTTGCCTAGAAGTGACTTTAAAGAGGCAAAAGCCCATCTGAAATCTTGAACCAAAACCGCACTCGCTAAGGACAACCGTGCCTATTCGGAAGAAGCTCAGAGAAGCGCTGGAGAAGGTAAAACCCGTACGACCTGGAGGTGTCTCGGCTCGGAAACACAAGAAATGAGCAGCAGGTGAGTGAGGGTGGGTAGCCCCAGGCCCTCCCCTCTGTCACAGCGCTGCCGATGGCAGAAGCAGGAGAAGCTACAAGTACGAGCCGTGTCTGTAGTTGCCTCTTACAAAGGATCAGCTGAAAGCGGGCAGAAAAAAGGTCCCAAAAATACAGTAAAACACAAGTGAGTACTGGACATTGAGGGTTAAAAGTACTGAGAATGACCAGGCTGAGAGACGTCTGAAACAAGACCATGGTCTGCACAGGGTACCGATGAAGTCTGAGCGCCTCATTGCTACAGCAGCTTGTGAAGCTCCGGACCCTTTACACAGAGCTTTCCGTGGCATCAGTGCCCTCAGCTTGAAACACAATCAGACGTCAAGTTAATGTCACTGCCGACCACCAAGAAATAGCACTGCACAGGCTGAGGAACAGGCGAAACGTTATCAGGTGAGCATTGCCTTGCTGTCTTTGTTTGAACAGCCCGAGACACAACTGTCTCAGGGCAAACCAGCACCAGCAATATCTCCTTGCCTTAGCGCCGGCCTCAGGGAGATGCGGTTGTGACCTGGGTAAAGGTGTTACACAATTTCACCACCAAAGAGCTTTCCTGTGGACCAAGGACAAGCGTCAGTTGCTCACGACTGGCTGAAAGGCCCAGCTGGAAGAAAAGGCAGGGGAAGCAAAGGGAGCTGGAAATTTCAGCAACACCAGCATGGCAGGGATGCAGCAGCAGAGGAGCCAGAGCCTCTGGGCTTGTTCGGGTATAAAGCAAGTAGCGAACTGCATGCAGTTCAGGGAATTCTAACCACCCAGTAGATCCAAAATCAAGGAAGCTCTGCCCGAGAGGGCAAGGGGAGCACACAGCCCGGCTGCCAGGCAGGACGGTGTCACCGGCGGGGGGGGGGGGGGGGGCGGCGCG